TCCACACAATGTAACCCTTATGATGAGAGGAGGGAGAGCTATCAGGTACTCAGTACCAAGTGCAAATACAAAAATAAAATCAAGCAACACTTGTGACAGAGTGCATGCATGCTTGCTTCTACGAATCTAGTTCCAAACAGTGATCCTCAAAGGGAGAACAGCTTACCTTTTGCCCGGTCAGTGGGCATACACCACCATTCGCCAACGTGGCAGCAGCAACAGCACCACTTTTGCACACAAACTGCATGCTGCATGTCTGCAAGAAGACAAGCAGGCGAACAGCGCCAATGAGGAACAGCCATGGCAATAACAGAAGCAGCATCAACAGCCTAGTGTTGAAGAGCAGCGCCACACTGCCATACCTGCACCAAGTCAAAGGCTTCCAGCAGATTGTATCGACGAGCTAATTTCACTCGGATTATGTTCCGATGCCAGAAAACCTAATCAGCACTCAAAGGTTGAGTGAGTCAGCACTAACAAGAACAGCAGCCCATCTCATGTGGAAATCGAAGAGAACACGACTACTCAACATGCTACAGTTCAGCAACCCGGGAAGACAAACCAAAGTGGGAAATACCAACAAACACACACAAACACACACACACACACACACACACACACACACACACAAAACACACTGTACAATAAGACTGTGCTGCACAATGCCCAGTAGAACTTCCTCTATGTTGACACACAGCTGTAACGGTGACTGGTACTATTAAGTTATCTCTCCCGGTGAGCACTCGAACAGCCGGCTGTAACAGACACCTCTAAAGCAAGAACACTTCTCCACCTTCGAGACCAGTCAGTTGTGCCCCAGCTATTCCAAAATCAAGCAGCTAATACGGCTTGTGTAATAGAACACATGCACATACGTGTCTTGTCCCTCGGGTGTACCAGGAACTGAGGGTGTACATGATTGCGAACGTCTACCCAATTTCAAAGTAAAATGTAGCCTCCTACCTGGAAATAGAACTCCAGTGTTGTTGCAAGGTCGAAATTTTCACTCTTCGGAAACGCCTGCAGAGAAGACAGAACCCAGGCACACAAATGCAGTGGTGAGAATTGCCCAAGGCACACCGAGCATGTACACAACCGGACAATGCCAGCTAATGGTGCAAGCTAGAGTCATCATCCGGTGCAGGCCGGCACAGAGAGGAGCTGGGAACAGAATTCAGACAGCTACACATTGACAGTACTGGCCACAGCATGTCGTCATGCACGCCCAGCTCAATATACCTGTCCCATAAAGTCACCACCTCACTCCCAACTGGAACTGGGCACTTGCCAAACAACAAGAATACACATGCAGAACTACTCAATGACTCACCCCCTTTTCTTTCAGGAAATACCCAAGCGCAAAGTTCCTGTCAGCGGTTTGCTTCTCGGACTGAAACCTATGCAAACAGTGATGATGACCACAACAAAGACGACAACAACGACGACAACAACAACGACGACAACGATAACAACAATAACAACATCGGCATGATCTCGAGGCCATATCCAATTACGGAAGTCTGGTTCAAATGGAAAAAATAATTGCAAGCATGTTACCACATACATGCACGCACGTGCACACACAAACACATGGATGCACGCATGTACACACACACACACACACACACACACACACACACACACACACACACACACACACACACATACACACACGCATGTACGCACACACACACACACACACACACACACACACACACACACACACACACACACGCATGCACACGCACACACAACTCAAACTAAGTACTGGGAGGAGACATCAATGCATCGACCGTCACCTACGTGGAGTTGTCAAAGCCGACAAACTCGCCTGCTGTCAATCGCAGATATTGGCTCTGCAGCTGGACACATAAGAAACAAGCGCAATGATGGCAGCAGCATTGAGATGAATACCATGAAGTACAGGGAGTGGGGTACTTTTTCTTGTCCGCAAACACACTATGGAGTACTGGCATGAGCAAAAAGTGCCGGAGTCCGCTCCTACCAGTCCTTGGCGGAACGTGCATACACATTCCTACACAGAGACAAGTCCAGGTTTTAGTGAAAGCAGCGGACAGATCAAGAACATCACATTCCTGATCCTCTAACTCCACTGTACTTGTACAGTAAGTATCGTTTATAAAGTGACCGGATATAATGATATACCGGTTATAGTGATAGAACACGTCAAAATCAAAATCAAATCAGAAAAAATACAGCTAAAATATCACTATATACACTATTATCGGCTATACCGATATATCGCTTATTGTGATGGACTTCAGGAAGCAAACCATATCAAATGTACAGGAAAATATCGCATATAATGATCAAGAGTGATGATCACAAAACAATTGTGTTTTTTTGTGTTGGCCGATTTTTCTTCACTGTTTTCTGACCAGACAACATTCGCTCCTTGATCGCATCTTTTTGCTTGATGATGGTTGAAACGCTCGACTGAGGCACACCAAACTTTTTTCCTACGGCAGACTGAGACACGCTAGGGTTTCTCTCTACGAACTCTACAATTTCAGCTTTCTTCTCAGTGGAAAGACAAACTCTCTTTTTCGGCGGAGGCTCCATGACCAGACCTTTCACTGGGGAACAACTTGGCAACTAAACAGGAAGGACAGCGAAGCCCAGACTTTCAGGTTAGCTACTGTCACGAATGTCACTCGACGTAGGTCTACTCATGATCTCTTTTTGATCTCGTTGGACACCGAGTACGCGAGTACGGATCCAGCTCAGGCTTTTTTTTTGGAGAACACGCTGAAGAAGCAGCCATGCCACATGATGTATCGAAGTACTGCAGTACATGTACAGTCTGTACCAGGGAGTAGTAAAATGTATTTTACTACTCCCTGGTCTGTACTCGTACTGCACTGCCATGCACTGCTCTGTGTCATGCATGCACCGGTACTCAGTCTGCGGAGCATGCATGCACTTTCAGCATGCTTTTTCCAGCGTGTACGCATCATTTCATGTGCAGTCATGTGCCATGTGTCGGTCAAACATGCAAATCGGCTATAGTGATGCACCGGATATAGTGATAAATTTTCGAAAACGTTATATCCGATATTTACTGTACGCCAGTATCTACACCGTCCACTAACAAAAGGAATACCAGTATCTACACTACCTAGTATACTACACACAGAATACTAAAACAGGATCTGTAATCAAGTCCATCATTTGTGTACTTCACAGAATGAAGACTCAGTAAAATACAGTACAAAACAAACAAAGTAGGCAACTCACCCAGTCGAAATTTGGCAGCTGTTTCCAGCTCCGGCTTCATGAGAGAGCAGAGGACAATAGCACCGGAATTCACCATTGGGTTGTGCGGTTTCCCTAATCATATACAAGCAGGAAATCAGAGAGAGAGAGAGAGAGAGAGAGAGAGAGAGAGAGAGAGAGAGAGAGAGAGAGAGGAGAGAGAGAGAGAGAGAGAGAGAGAGAGAGAGAGAGAGAGAGAGAGAGAGAGAGAGAGAGAGAGAGAGAGAGAGAGAGAGAGAGAGAGAGAGAGAGAGAGAGAGAGAGGGAGAGACGATTCTCTAAATTTCACTCTACCTCTAAACATGTTGTTCAACAGTAACACTAGCTGTAAGGAGACGCAATGCGGCATGCAATGTCATTTCTACTTCAGTACACATACCAGCGAGTCAAGGCAAGTTTTAACAAACTGCTGGAAAGTGCTCAAGACACAGAGTGCAGTCCGTTGTCTTAACTGTATGAAAGAGAGAGGGGGATCCAATTGGAATTTGCTCTGACTTTGAGTTTCATGCCGAAGCACTCATCAGACAACTGATAATAATTATAATCTGGGGAATAATCATTAATTCATTATAATAATGTTCCTGCGTGAATCTTGACACTAAACAGTTGACGGTGAATATTTGAGCGGGTATCACTCACTCCACACACCAACACTTAACTCTGTCTCTTTCTCTCTCACTCTGTCTGTCTGTCTGTCTCTCTCTCTGTCTCTGTCTGTCTCTCTCCTATGTACCAGATAATCATCTATGATATGACTGACCACCAAATATGCACGTAGGTAGGTTCTAATATCATGCACAGTTGCATATGCTTGCAGTGTGCTACACAGTGACAGATCACATTCGAGAAGGCTTATAAAGTTAAATTGGTCCCGTTCCGGCTAGATATGCAACACTGGCTGGACACGATGTGTTTGGATAGCTGATTAGCGACCCACGACACACGACTGCCACGTGATTACTGCACGAATCATGCCACGTGATTACTGCACTAATCATGCTGCGATTACTGCACTAATCATGCTGCGATTACTGCACGAATCATGCTGCGATTACTGCACGAATCATGCTGCGATTACTGCACTAATCATGCTGCGATTACTGCACTAATCATGCTGCGATTACTGCACGAATCATGCTGCGATTACTGCACGAATCATGCTGCGATTACTGCACTAATCATGCTGCGATTACTGCACGAATCATGATTAGTGCACGAATCATGTTGCGAGCAAAAAGATGACCACAAGTACACGGCATTGTATTGATTGTCCTCCTCACCATCTTTGTTCAAGAGCATTGTGTTGAATGCCTGTCCACTGGGTTCTTGTCCAATGTATGAATGAACCTGAAAAGGCAAGCGCACCCCCCCCCCCCCCCATACACACACACACGAGCGCACAAACACAACATAATCAGTCATTGGCACGAGCATGTGCGCACATCCACATGTAAACACGACGTCGTAACTGTCATGCATCAGCGTCGGCCAACGGCACCAAGTACTACTACAGCACACTCGGGACAATGCCAAACACATAAATGTACCAGTGTTGCCCGATAGTGTTGATTGGTCACACGTGCATGTGAGACTCACATTGTGAGTGTGATCATGTCAGAACAAAAAAGCCTTCACTCACTAGTATGAAAACACTAATCTGCCTTCATGTTCTTGTGTAACAAAGCACAAAGCACCGGTACATGTACACTGGAATAAGATGACCCCCCCCACACACACACACATGTACTCACAAAGTCAGAGTCCTTGTCATCCAGTACCAATGGATAGTTCAGGCATTTCCCAGCTGACTGCACACAAAACGGAACTTCATCATCACCGAAAGACGCTCTGAAAACAATAGCACAACACAGAGCAACATACACACAAGTATACAATGAGACAGACACAGTGATAAGGAGAGAGAGAGAGAGAGAGAGAGAGAGAGAGAGAGAGAGAGAGACAGAGAGAGAGAGAGAGAGAGAGAGAGAGAGAGAGAGAGAGAGAGAGAGAGAGAGAGAGAGAGAGAGAGAGAGAGAGAGAGAGAGACAGACAGAGAGAGACAGAGAGAGACAGAGAGAGAGACAGAGACAGAGAGTACCAAACTCAAGCACAGTAGGAAGGCGATAACACATGACTACTCCAGGCAGAAACTTATGCTATGTGATGCTCTGCACCTGTGGAGGATTGGGCTACTACGATTTTTTTGTATCGTTTTAGGTTGCATTACAGAAGTCTGCCATCACAAGGTAAATGATACAATTCCGTACATGTACGTGCAGCTCCTACAGGGATGTTAAGCTAGAATTACTCACCGCTGACCGTCCACAGTACAAACTGATGCTGCCCAGTAGTCTGGATTCACTTTTTGCAACTGAGGAATGGCTGAAAACAGCTGAGCACGAAATACGAGAGAGAGAGAGAGAGAGAGAGAGAGAGAGAGAGAGAGAGAGAGAGAGAGAGAGAGAGAGAGAGAGAGAGAGAGAGAGAGAGAGAGAGAGAGAGAGAGAGAGAGAGAGAGAGAGAGAGAGAGAGAGAGAGAGAGAGAGAGAGTCAACGATGTGAAGAGAGAACAGGTCAAACTAGTGCCCACTGGTAAATGAATATGAAACATTGAATGAAATTCATAAATTTAAGCAAGCTGGCATATACAATGATTGGTTACCCCCCCCCCCCCCCCCCCACACACACACACATAGACTCATACACAATCTCTGGACTGGCAGCTGCTAGACCCATACATTAATCTGTTCAATCATCAAAGTTCTGTAGTAGGCAAAACTGCAAAGAACACAGAACGATTATGGCAACTTCAAATTTACCCCTTTTGAACAATTTCCGGGGGGAGGGGGGGGGATTCATTTCACCGCATTACTACCGCTCTATTCTCTTCTTTCCTATGTCACACACTGGAGAGTACCTGAGCTATGCTATGGAAATCTATGTTACAGAGAAGAAGACATACTTCGCCATCCGTGTTGTCCTTCACAGCATGGTATATTTTCTGGACATCATTCTTGAAACGCGGGAAGTCGGGTACGGTGATTTTTTGCGTAAGAACCTTGGCTAGGAGCGTGAATTTATCGCCAACACCTCTGACAAACAAAGCACCAAACACACAGCACACAAGATATGCATAGACACGGGTGGGAACACAGATATACACAAGAGTTCCATGATTGTACAACTTTTAAAACCTTTGTCGATACGAAGCGTCTGGACAAACTATTGTGTACATTCCAACTCCCTCAAAAGGAAAAAAATTACGGCTCGCGTGAGACTCGGGTGGATGCCGAGTTTTCCACATCCGCAGGAACACCACCACCACTAAGGAATCAAGGTTCAACTCCCTCAAACTTATGAATAATATCTATTGTTGGGGCTCCTCGCGTAATAGTTTCTACATGAAGTGTGTGGGTTACAGTGAGGACTGTGTCCCACCAGCCTGCGTGGATTTACAGGAGGGGTGAGTTTCGAAGTCTGAAGGAAGAGTTGAACGGTCGCTGCTGTGGATGATGACTACACCAAAGCTTAGTGGCAAAGCATCGCTGGCCATAACTGGCATAAGGGAGGGTCCCTGGTTCGAGTCCTACATTGTAGTGGTGGCAGTCAATTTGTCTTCAGACTTTTCTGATTTCGACTCCCTTAACTTGTATATCGATAACCCAAAAGGCTCTGCAGCCTATATCAAAGGGTGGTTCCTCTTGCGATACTGAAAACAAATGATGTAGTTGATGTACTGGGGTACTCAGGCCGAGTTTCTGTTTCCTTGCACCGTGCACTGCTTGTAAATACAAAAACAATATGCAAACATTGCACAGCACAGCTCCAGAGCAGCCCCTCACTGACAAAACTGTGACTAGCACCAATGCACCACTTCATGACAGGCAGACACATGCTGGTCAACTTACTGTATAAGAGCATCGAATGGCATTAAGCCCTCGTTCTCTTGTGATGCTCTGCGAAATGCCACCAACGACTCCTTCAGTCTAGGATCAGACGTCAGTATTCCAGCCTTCCGCAAGTCCTACAGCATGTTTCCACAGGAACAGTACATAAACAATCACATGATCTAAAGTACACACCCAACAGCACCAGAAGAAGGCATGCCACAACAGTGACACAGCAAGAACGAACCATCCGAAAAGCCAGGTTAAAAAAAACAGCAAATAATTGGACTGGATTGTTTACATTACACCGTCGAGAATCAAGGCACAGATCATCCTACAGCAGCAGCAGCAATAACAATAACTACGCACGTGCACACAGAGTAAAAGAGAACCCACTCACACTGAGCAGCTTCTGCGTGATGACTAGACCATCTTCATTGCAGTAGCGCCGGAACACCGAGTACTCGGCAGAGCTCTCCAGCCTGTCCTGAGCATCTTTGAAGTCTGTACTACCATCACTAGCAATGCACGCACACACACACATGACAATGCACACACAAACAAAACAAAAACATGGGTGGACTCGGATGGAGAGCCAAGGAAAAAATTATAGAAAAAGTTTGTCAAGTAACTGGTGGTGTTAGTGGACATTATAGCGTAACTTGTAGTTCATTGGTCCTTTTCTTTTCTATAAAAACATGGGTGGTGAGCTTATAATGATTATAGGCAAGAGGAGAGGCAAACAGGTATGATGTGTGACTAATAGGGGATTCACACGACGTGCAAACTCAAGTGTGTGGTACTCTTTTACTCGTGTGACCAAAACGCGTGCAAAATCTTGATAAACTTGCTCGGGGGTTGTGGGCCCACTTTTGTGCTTTGTGCGCGTGTAAAAACAGCGAAAGTACATGAGTATGCTCGAGTACACAGACGCATGCAAGATTTGCACGGGTCTGCTGTCTGTGTGAATCCGATGGGCAGCTTGTCCACTTTTACACAAACGTGTTTTCGTTTATTTTCACGTGGTGTGAATAGCCTATTACAGTCCACCAATGTAACCATATCATATACAGTCATATAGGGCGACAACAAGGCACACACCTGACAGGTAGTACCGAGACAACCAACGACCTGATGCCTAGCTCCAACATATCTCCAAAGCGCAAACCAAGAGCCTTCCAATTAGGAAGGCTCAGGTTAGGGAGAGGTCAACCGGGTGTCGCTTCAGAATACATTGGCGCATACCTGACCGAGAGATCTGAAATCCGTTGTCCAATGTGTGCATGCGTGTGTGCGTGTGTGTGTGTGCCAAGTTTCAACCGAGACCATTACATGGTTCTGAAATTTGTGCTAGTCCAGCTATGAAGTGTGTGAGTAGCCATGGTGACACAACATCACTAGCATAATAGTGACCACATTAGTGATATCATCACTCTCGATTCTGACATACCATTACCAATGATTATGTGGATGTACATATGTATACAGCACACCCTGAGGGTAGATCTAAAGTGATGTGCTACACGTAGTCAACAGAATGGAGGGAGAGATCAAATCCACAACTTCTCCAAGTGATAATCACCGGCGACATGTGTCATTACAGTCATAATGATTGGGCAAGATAGCAGCACTGAAACTTGAAGATGTGCACCTTATTCAGGCCCGGCGGAACCGGTCCGGTTGGGCAGGCCATGGCCGGACCAACTTTGTGGCCACCAACATGTGTTACTACTGAGGAGGGCATGGGTATACCCTCCATATCATACACAAAGTATGAAAGGCTAGGGTATGGCCGGACCAATCCCAAAACTGCTTTCGCCAGTCCTGTTATCTAATTCCTTCTTGCCATTGTTTGGACTAGAGTAACCCACATCTAGACCTGATTTTCTGGCGAATAGCAGGAGAGGGGGGAAACTGGAATTACTAGGTGTACAATGCTGTAAAGCCAGCCCTGTACACGTGCAGACTGTACATGACCAGTTTTTCAGATGTACATCATACAACAGCGCAGTAACATAGAACGTGATGGAAAGCAAGCAGCACTGCTATAGGCACTCCTACTGAGTTAGTCCTAGTACTTACCCTGGTGCTTCTAGAGACGAGGAAGCGTGTCTTGCACACACATGACGTCCGGAGAGGACAGCAGAGCAGCGAGCGCCAATGGCAGGTCGCAGCAGAGATGTAGGCCTAGCCAGTCGACTGGCTACGCGACTATAGAGCCTCCAGCCCATGCCTGTTCAAGACGCTAATTGCTATAGCAGGAATTATTTCTCTCTCGATTCTCTTCTGGATAACGGTTTCCCCCAACACGGCTGGTGACGACACTGTACCTAGTTTTCACGAACCAAAGCATCCTCAAATTCTGTACTCCACTCTTTTTTTCCTTTCGACACAAGGATGAAAATTGTCGCGAGAGAAATCAAACAACAGCTGCCTTACGCCAACTTGGGAAGTATGGCTCGCATTGGCTTCAAGTAATGAGCGTAAAGATCAAATACTCCGCTGCCTGACGGGGTGTAAATACCAGTGAAAGGACGAGGCCTTTCAGTGAGTTCGGTTTTGAATCACCAATAGTCAATACAGAACAAGACAGGCAGTGCTTCCACTCAGCAGCAGTCAGCTCAGACTTTCGAAATGAATAGAAATCCTGTTTTCTCGACCTGGGATTTTGAAACATCCATGATCACGGAATGTCGTCATCAAAGCTAGCATGTTGTCATTTTTTTGTGATGAATGAATGAAATGGGGCTGTTAAGTGATGACGTCACAGTTCCTTCGATACGCATAACAACGATCCCACTGGGGACAAACAAAAAGTAGCGTCGTCTCCACCGAACCAGTTGTCAGTGGCAACATATAGGAATCGTGTACATTTCTTCGTTTCTTCTTTGCTGTTTTCAGTGAGTGTTTTGTTTTCTCTTTGTCCTTGATCTCGACGATGTTGTCGTGCTCATTACCTTACTGAGACGTCTCTTGTGACTGTAGCCAGTGTCACGGAGGATTTTATTGGCGTGACAAGGTAGATCGCCGAGATCGAGCGTGAAAACGCTCTGCATTAGTAGCTCCTGTAGAATGTTTTCTGGGATGGCGTATCCATGGTCAACAAAACCAAGGTGCAAGACAGCATGAGAGATCGTGTAAACGATGTGAACTCTAAAAGGTAAGCTCCTGAACAAGTGGAAAGATATAGGTATTTACAAACTCTCTCTTCATCCATCGATTGCCGCTATGCATTGCATTTTGTCTTCACAGATTATCTGGCCAAATTTATTGTAACTAGAGAGTGCAATCGTGCTTGGGGCCCATCCCAATGTCATCACATGGCTGTGGTGACTAGTGTATATCTGGGAGAATTTTTCCTCGACTGATACGGAGTGCAGGTGGATCGATTATGAGAAATGCGAACATGTGAAGTAATTAGTTGTGTCGAAGAAATGTGCAATAAAATACAATTTACTTTACACTCAAACATACACTGTAGATGTACATGTAACATCATGATAATGATTCCATCTTCATTGTCCCGCAACTGGTACACCATACGCACCGAATACATGGTGTGTGTGCGCGCGCAAGCGAGCGCGCGCATGTACATGCACACACTCTCATGCGTGGCCGAGTCGGCCAGATGAACAGACCATGCATTTGCACGAGGTGTCCGTAATGCCATTGGAACGCTGTACTTTATGACTTTATTCCAAAAGAGTATGTCTTGCCCCTGACGAATGGAGTTGTGTCTGTGCTCAGCGGGTATCGGGCTATGCCGCAACACAGCAATCAGCGCTGCAATTAAAAGAGCACTGCATGGATTATTTTGACTACCGTAGAATCCCGCGGATAAGCCCATGGGCCTATCTGTTTCACAAGGACATTTCGGTGGGCTTATACGAGAACATGGGCTTATACGCGGGCATGGGCTTATACGCCGACAACAAGTTGTGCTACTGAAAAGTATCAAGGAAGTGAGAAGTACATTGCTGAAAACCACTGTGCAAACAAAAACAACCGATGATTGTACTGAAATGTACGAAAAAAAACTAATGACTATGTGCGGTATGGCCAAGAGTCCATAATTTTTGGACTCTCGGTATGATCTAAGCCCATGGGCTTGTTCGATGAAGCTTTGTGATGTTCGAACAAACCCTGGGCTTATGCGCGGGCATGGGCTTATACGCGGGTGGGCTTATCCGCGGGATTCTACGGTAACTTCCTTTGCGTTTACTTGGTTGAGCCCGTGGTTTCATTTCTGTGTTCTGTCATGATTGGCCTCTGGAAATAATCAGAGTGGATGTCATTTTGCCATATATGTGTGCCTTGTGCGACAGGTTCAAGGCTAGATGCACTTCACATTCGGCGTGCGATCTCAGCGTCTGGGACCTGATGAAGTCTTGGTTGGATGATTATTCAAGCCTGATACTACTCGACACACCAATGTACATGTCAATGTAATTTTTCAGAGCTGCACTATTTACGTGTTGATGCTTACTTCGGTGTTAGCGTGTTTCCCCCGGATTGTTTCTATCATCATGATCGTGTGTTCTTGGGCTGAGCGAGCACATGCACAAGTGTGCAGCTATAACCCTGTGTATCTTTGGTTACACTTTGTTCTGCAATGCATGTACCTTGTAACATTATGTGCTTGCACTGCTTTGTCTGGCCTGCGTATTTCAGGACTATTCAGTGCATTAGACCCAGGTTTGTTTGGTTGCCGGATGATCTCTTGTTGCGTCGCTCTGTATTTGTATTCATCAATTTTTGGGCTTGAGAATTGAGCTGTTGTGTGGTTCCCAATATGAAAACATCATGCTGGTGCTCTGTGTTTCGATTATCGACTGTCGGAGCAGTCATGCATGTATTAGCAGAACGGTCAATACTGTAGTCTTTTCACGTGTTTGTCTTTTTTGCGTTTTTGCCGGGGGTATTAGCGGTAACGCTGCACACAGAACGGCAGTGTTGCATCACTGGACGACCCTGCCTCTGCATCTGACTTAATTTCCCCAGGATCTGGTGCAGTTACACCAGACAGCCACTTCCTGTAAACACGCAAACAGCAAAAGAAGAGATCCCGCAAATCAGGAAAAACCATTGTGGAAAGTATAGAGTAGATCATACAACATTCAATAATCTGGAGTAATTACAGTGAGACAAACACTTCAAACAGTGCTCTCTCTGCCTCCATCCTTCCAAAAATACCCAATCACAATTCCCTAGAATTATTTTATTTTATATTCTTAGGACATCATTCTGAACATAATAAATTCTTCCATGGGTCTTCAATCACCACGGAGGGCGAAAATATATCTAAGTCATGCAGTTTACGGGAGGTGCGAGCTGTCATGGATATAGAGGCTGATATTGTGCCAGCGTGAGGGCAGAGACAGAAAGAAGACACTGATTTCTTGAACAACTCACCTATATATAATCGAATCCACAAGGAGCGCTCATACTTTGATCCATCAGGACGCGAAACATCTTCAAAGCACTCTCAAACACGGAGTTTTACTGTGGACAGGCAATTTCACAGCCATCATGAAGGCACTCGACGACTACAGGAGTTTTGTAGAGGAAAGAACAAGGAGTAAAGAGCGACAACAATCGCTTGAAGAAAAAGCAAAGAAACACTGCTGTCTCTCCAGTCATTTAGATGCTGTTGCCCTTGACATCTGGTTCCATCCACGAATCACGATCCAGAGGACGCGACTTTTGTTTGTCCCCAGTGCTCTCCGTTGCTATGCGTATCGAAGGAGCCGTGACGTCACACTTAACAGCCCCATTCAGGGAGTCGTAAAATATTTTACGACTCCCTGGCCCCATTGTAATCAAGCACGCTCAGGACAGCTACAGGAGTCAGGAGGTCATGATGGCTGAATCTTGCCCGAGCCTGCAGCCCAAGGCCCGTAGGCCCGAGGGCTGCAGGCAAGGGCAAGATTCAGCCATCATGACAGACAGAGCGTGCTTGATTTGATTTCTTACAGCGCGAAGCAACATATTAGGGAAGGTCAAAGGTCGAAAGGTCGAAAAATTATTCCCGAAATGACGTCAACGGTCCGAACATTCCCGAAATGACGTCAAACGGTCCTGAAACTCCCGAAATGACGTCAAACGGTCCTGATGATTATGCCCGCGGCGGGAAGATCGCCTATTGGCCATGGCCCCGGCAACGATCACGTGTCATGTAAGAAGGAATTTTCTTATATGACACGTGACACGTGATCGTTGTTATGCGTGAAGTAGGCGCGGATACCGAGCTCGAGACTCCGAGACCATGGGGCTGTTAAGTGTGACGTCACGGCCCCTTCGATACGCATAGCAACGGAGAGCACTGGGGACAAACAAAAGTCGCGTCCTCTGGATGGAACCAGTTGTGAAGGGCAACAGCATCTAAATGACTGGAGAGAGAACAGTTTTTCTTTGCTTTTTCGTCAAGCGATTGTTGTCGCTCTTTACTCCTTGTTCTTTCCTCTACAAATCTCCTGTAGTCGTCGAGGGCCTTCATAATGGCTGTGAAATTGGCTGCCCACTGTAAAACTCCGTGTTTGAGAGTGCTTTGAAGATTCTTCGCCTCCTGATGGATCAAAGTACGAGCGCTCCCTGTGGATTCGATTATATGTAGGTGAGTTGTTCAAGAAATCAGTGTCTTCTTTCTGTCTCTGCCCTCACGCTGGCACAATATCAGCCTCTATATCCATGACAGCCCGCACCTCCCGTAGACTGCATGACTTAGCTGTATTCTCGCCCTCCGTGGTGATTGAAGACCCATGGAAGAAGTTGTTCAGAATGATGTCCTGAGAATATAAAATAAAATAATTCCAGGGAATTGTTACAGGGTATTTTGGAAGGATGGAGAGAGAGAGAGAGAGCACTGTTTGAAGTGTTTGTCTCACTGTAATTACTCCAGATTATTGAATGGTGTATGATCTACTCGATATTTTCCGCAATGGTTTTTCCTGATTTGCGGGATCTCTTCTTTTGCTGTTTGCGTGTTTACAGGAAGTGACTGTCTGATGTATCTGCACCAGATCCTGGGGAAATGAAGTCAGATGCAAAGGCAGGGTCGTCCAGTGATGCAACACTGCCGTTCTATGTGCAACGTCACCGCTAATTCCCCCGGCGAAAACACAAACACGTGAAGAGACTACAGTATTGACCGTTCTGGTAATGAATCGTGACTGCTCGGACAGTCGATAATCGAAACACAGAGCACCAGCATGATGTTTTCATATTGGGAACCACACACCAGCTCAATTCTCAAGCCCAAAAATTGATTAATACAAAACACAGAGCGACGCAACAAGAGATCATCCGGCAACCAAACCAACCTGGGTCTGATGCACTGAATAGTCTTGAAATACGCAGGCCACACAAAGCAGTGCAAGCACAGACTGTTACAAGGTACATGCATTGCAGAACAAAGTGTAACCAAAGATACACAGGGTTATAGCTGCACACTCGTGCATGTGCTCGCTCAGCCCAAGAACACGCAGGATGATAGAAATAATCCGGGGGAAACACGCTAATGTCATGACCGGGGAGTGGGCCAGACATACTCTCAGGATTCTACAATTCCAGGTTCTTTACGGAAATACAGTAAGATCGGGCGCCGAAGAACGCAGAGGCTCGAGCGCAGCCTAGGAAAGTTCTTAAATTTTTGATTCTAGCCAGACCGTTCTTATTCACACGCGCGCGGCGAGTCGAGTGACGTCATGACGTTTGTCATGTACATGTACATGTACATGTAGTGCAGTGTAGTACTTCTAAACTAGTGGGTGTCGTAAATGGGAATGACTGTACATGTAGCAGTTACTGTTTACACGTGTACATGACATGTACTCACCTCCCATACATGTACAATGTTCCAAATTTTAAAAGTTTTCTTAAATCTGATAATTCTAGCCTGGACTGTTCTTAAACTTTGCCGGTTTTCCAGCCTGGGTGTTCTTCGGCGCCCGATCTTACTGTATACCAGGAGTCCAGATACCCATTCCTCACCCTCACCACACAAGAAGACCAAAGCTTCACTCTAGGACCAAGCTCAAACAACAGAGAAGCAACAAGAACAACAACAACCAGCGATCGATGCAAAGCATCGAGCTATATACTACAAGACCTAGTAGCGTGCACGGCGCGGAGCGAGCAAGTAGCCAGCAAAGGATGAATAGTGATAGGTTTCACAACACTATTGATCGACAAGACACATCGCCGCCATGGCAAACACTTCATAAAGACACATGTATAAGCAGACGGAATACAATACAGATAATGACATTGTAGCAACACACGGACACGACACTAGCACCGAAGTAAGCATCAAGACGTAAATAGTGCAGCTCTGAAAAAGTAAAAACTACATTGACATGTACATGTACATTGGTGTGCCGAGTAGTATCATCCTTGATCACCCATCCAACCAAGACGTTATCAGGTCCGAGACGCCGAGATCCCACGCCGAATGTGAAGTGCATCTAGCCTTGAACCTGTTGCACAAGGCACACACATATGACAAAAAATGACATCCACTCCGATTATTTCCAGAGGCCAATCATAACAGAACACAGAAATGAAACCACGGGCTCAACAAAGTAAACGCAAAGGAAATTAGTTAAAATAATCCATGAAGTGCTATTTTAATTCCCGTAGCTATGCAGAAGACGTTACTTCAGTAACGTCTGGCGCTAGCCAGGGTCCACACAGCTTTAATTGGGTGTTTGTTTGTGTGTTTGTTTGTGTCACGCCTGGCGCTATCCGTATCTGACGGCAAAAAAGCATAGGATGTTATAAATTTTTCAATTCTCCTTTTTTCTTCAGGCATATCCTGGGATTCGAACCCGCACTATCGCCCTACATGCATTCCCCCATACACTTCGCATTCATACCCATTCTTCCAAGTTGCTTTACGTTATTATCTTGCGTTTGAAAGCCCTATTTGAATATTGCGGGCAGCTGTATGTGGCCAGCTGTGTTTGATGGTACGGTACGGGAGACGGTGTCGTATTACCCTCGATCGTACCTGTCCCATACCTATCCCCTACCGTACCGTGCCATCAAAGACGGCTGGCCACAATGCATATTCAAATAGGGCTTTCAAATGCAAGATCACAATGTGAAACAACTTGGAAGAATTAGTATGTATGCGAAGTGTATCGGGGGATGCATGCAGGGCGCGCGATAGTGCGGGTTCGAATCCCAGGTTATGTCTTACAAAAAAAGGAATTTTTTAAAGAATTTATAACATCCCTATGCTTTTTTTTTGTCTAGGTCATCAAGGCAAAAAAGCATAGCGTAGGGCCCTGAGCTTCCAAGCTCTCTCGTTCCAGCGCTGACTGCAGTGTGGCGTCATGGCCCGATACCCGCTGAGCATAGACACAAACTCCATTTGACAGGGGCACGACATACTATTTTGGAATAAAGTCACAGGGGCGTAGCACCCGCTACGACTGGTACGACCATGGCCGCACCACTTTTCGAAAAGTGTGGTCCGTCTGGAACGTGCAAAACCGTAATAAAAAATCAGGATCCATCGATATTTGCATATGCGCATCAGACCTTTTTCTAGACTCGTAGATCTGTTATGCATCTGCAGTCGTACTGAGTACTGTACTCGACTCGACTGCACACTGCGCCAGAAGTTCCCAGAACGCAGGATTTTGTGTCTTTTTTACAAAATTTTCCCGGGGGGGGGGGGCGGACCCCCTCCAACACGGCCTTCCGCCGCACCGACCTTCGGTCGTACCACTTCCAAAACCCCTCCTACGCCCCTGAGTCATAAAGTACAGCACTCCAATGACATGGCGGACACCTCGTGCAAATGCGTGGTCTGTTCATCCGGCCAACTCGGCCACGCATGAGAGTGTGTGCATGTACGCGCGCACGCAAGCGCGCACGTGCACACACACCATGTATTCGGTGCGTATGGCGTACCTGTTGCGGAGATAATGAAAATGGAATCATTATCATGATGTTACATGTACAGTGTATGTTTGAGTGTAAAGTAAATTTTATTTTATTACACATTTCTTCGACACAACTTACTCCACATCTTCGCATTTCTCATAATCCATCCATCTACACTCCGTCTCAGTTGAGGAAAAATTCTCCCAGGTATACACTAGTCACCACAGCCATGTGATGACATTGGGATGGGTCCCAAGCACGATTGCACTCTCCAGTTACAATATAATTTATTCCCGTAGCTATGCAGAAGACGTTACTTCAGTAACGTCTGGCGCTAGCCAGGGTCCACACAGCTTTAATTTGGTATTTGTTTGTTTGTGTGTTTGTTTGTTTGTTTGTTTGTTTGTGTCACGCCTGGCGCTATCCGTATCTGACGGCAAAAAAGCATAGGATGTTTTTTTTTTTTTCAGGCATATCCTGGGATTCGAACCCGCACTATCGCCCTACATGCATTCCCCCATACACTTCGCATTCATACCCATTCTTCCAAATTGCTTCACGTTAATCTTGCGTTTGAAAGCCCTATTTGAATATTGCGGGCAGCTAGACGGTGTCGTATTACCCTCGATCGTACCTGTCCCGTACCTATTCCCTACCGTACCGTGCCATCAAAGATGGTTGGCCACAATGCATATTCAAATAGGGCTTTCAAATGCAAGATCACAATGTGAAACAACTTGGAAGAATTAGTATGTATGCGAAGTGTATCGGGGGCTGCATGCAGGGCGCGCGATAGTGCGGGTTCGAATCCCAGGTTTAAAAAAAAGGATTTTTAAAGAAAACATCCCTATGCTTTTTTTTGTCTAGGTCATCAAGGCAAAAAAGCATAGCGCAGGGCCCTGAGCTTCCAAGCTCTCTCGTTTGTCCAGATTATCTGTGAAGACAAAATGCAATGCATAGCGGCAATCGATGGATGAAGAGAGAGTTTGTAAATACACATATCTTTCCACTTGTTCAGGAGCTTACCTTTTGGAGTTCACATCGTTTACACGATCTCTTATGCTGTCTTGCACCTTGGCTTTGTTGACCATGGATACGCCATCCCAGAAGACATTCTACAGGAGCTACTAATGCAGAGCGTTTTTCACGCTCGATCTCGGCGATCTACCTCGTCACGCCAATAAAATCCTCCGTGACACTGGCTACAGTCACAAGAGACGTCTCAGTAAGGTAATGAGCACGACAACGCCGTCGAGATCAAGGACAAAGAGAAAACAAAACACTCACTGAAAACAGCAAAGAAGAAACGAAGAAATGTACACGATTCCTATATGTTGCCACTGACAACTGGTTCGGTGGAGACGACGCTACTTTTGTTTGTCCCCAGTGGGATCGTTGCTATGCGTATCGAAGGAACTGTGACGTCATCACTTAACAGCCCCATTGCCATTGGCATTTTGCCATTGGTCGGCAAAGCCTGCATGCAGCACCCCCATTGCCACCGCTGCCTTGCCTTGCCTTGCATCCCGAAATAGGCTGTTGTTTTAGTCATTTCCTAAACACTTGAGCAGCACATAACCATCGGGTATTACCTTAGAAAGAAAGAAGAGTAAGACGAGACTCGGAGAGAGAGAGAGAGAGAGAGAGAGAGAGAGAGAGAGAGAGAGAGAGAGAGAGAGAGAGAGAGAGAGAGAGAGAGAGAGATAGAGAGAGAGTTGGGAGTACGATTTGAGGAAGATTATACATTGAATATCAACAGACCACCTACTCCCCCATCAATTTCTATTCAAGGGACCGCAAGTGGCTGGAGACCAGTCTGCCCATACTATCGGACACTCTCGGTACCTGGTCCTTAAATGTCAACCAATCGAAGACTGAGTGGATACATCTGACAGCGGGCTCACACGATTGGAAGACCTCGAAGCACCTTGGATCATTGATTGCGGAGGAGGAAGACTGTGGCAGATGAATGAGTCAGGCGTCAACATCCTTCGGACGGATGTATACGGTGTGGCTGAGGAGGGAGGAGATCACAGAGACGAGAAGGTTACGTCTGTACAATGCCATTGTCCTCCCGAGTCTCCTATACAACTGTGAGGCATGGGGATTGACGGCAGGAAACCTCTCCAAGATTGACGTACTCCACAGAAAGCAACTTCGATGTATCCTGTTTGCTTCAAGACAAAGTCAGCAATAAACACCTGTACGAACGTTGTGAAACCTGCCCAATATCCACCCTGATTAAACAGCGAAGGAGGAGAATGACAGAACACGTCCTGAGAATGTCCCCCGACACGCCCGCCAGCAAAGCCATGGACATCTACTTGACCCAAGACTCCCGAGGCCGGCCAGGGCACCCAAGAAAGACGTTGGCAACCTGCGTTGCGGAGGACATGAGAGAGGCCGGAATGACTTTCACCACAGTGCGGGATCTCGACCTGGCGATCGAGCGGGCAAGGGACAAACCGGCATGGAGAGCGATGGTCTACAACTAATGATACTGAACTAGAACAACGGAAAGATTCATCAAGAGACAGCAGCGGACCGAACATTAGTGTTGCACAATATTAATGTTCCATTACAGGCAATTGTGTTATTATTTATTATCCATCAGCACTCGGCCGAAGGCCGGAGATTGGCACCGACCCACCGGGCTAGCATCCAGCAGCCAAAGCCATACATTATGGACATTAAAATGATGGTAGGTAAACAACAGAGAGAAACACATAACACTATATCGATCATAGGAAACACGAGAGGGTTTGGAGGAAAATAGGACCGAAAGAACTCCACCACGGCACCCACCCAAGAGCATTACAAATCAAGGACCTTTCGCAGGATAGCTGCCGAGACACAGAGCAGAGAGAGAGTGCCAGTAGCTGGTAATACCGATGGTGTCAAGGTATCCTGGCAACTGTTTAGAAACAGTGCCCAAAGTCCCAACTATCACAGGAACAGTCTGAGTCTCAACTTGCCATGGCCGATGGATTTCGCGAGCAAGAAGTTGATACTTGTATTGGCACGTTTCTCAACTTCCTTTTCAGCAACGCGTGGATCACCAGGTACAGCAATGTCAAAGATCAGGGCTTTCTTGGCAAGTCCATCAACCAGAACAATATCAGGCCGTCGGTGCTCAATGAAGCGATCGCACCGGATGGTGAAATCCCACAGAATCTTGATCTTCTGGTCCTGCGGAGAGATGTTGGCGTCTGAAGTATCTCTAGCTTCAGGCACGTTATCCTTGGGTGCAGGATGCTCTTGTACCGTTGCATTGGTCTTGGTCTTGGTATGCTCAAGCTTATTATTATTATTATTATTAGACATTGAATGGTGGACTGGTTGCCATACATGGACATGTATTGCGCAGCTCCCTGCATAGAATCTACAATCATGGCCATCAATGTACATTGTATAGCCGTGAGAGATCAAACCTCTCGGGAAAAACTAGCTCGAATGGAACCCGTCAACTGTATTACTTTGCCCTGTCTTCTCCGAGTCTCCCCTTGTGAATGTGAACTGAGATGTTGCGACCTGGGTGATGATTATAGAAGACGGTGGCTGCCCGGACCTAACGTTGCAGCTCGTCACATGATTTCCTGACAGACACTTGACTTACGACTCGTACTCACGACTGCTGTCTGGGCACACATCAGACGAATAATGCCGGACCGTCCACTCGGCTAACCTGCAAGAAATCACCACACCCTGCTCAATACACGGTGTTTCAAGGAATCCGAGGGTCGGGGGCCCTGGCCCTGAGGACCCAACGGGTGACAGCTAGACTCAGCTATGGAGAAGACCTTGTCCACACCCTCAAATAGAAGTCGAGGATCTTTAGGCCAAGGGCAGAAAGCATGTGAGGACCAACAAGCTGACGACAGTGAACACCCTTACCTACCGCTGCCTGGAGAATGCAGTACTGTCGGACAAAGTCAATACAAGCACGCATGGTACCAAGAGTACATATGGGGTTATAAACTTTTGATGGTAGATCTACCAAGAGTACATCGGGAGCTACTTGCTGGTCCATGTGGGCGAATGTGGGCTGGTCCATGTACATTCTGTATTGTCGCGCATAAACGCCAGGCTTCAATTTCCTGCATACAGAAGCCGATGTCAGGGCTAGGCTTCTATTCAAACTCGGGCTTGGTGTTTCTGCATGTACGTGTACATGTATTTCAACACAGACATTGTACTAGACAGTCACACTGCGGTATAACTATGACTTGAATGAATGCGAAGGAATTCCTCGATGATCGGAATCACCAGCACCGAAGTGACAAACCCATATCAACGCAGTGTATTCTACCCAATACAGTGTACTCACATAACGGTGGAGGGATTAGAATGTCTGGATGTCTGACGAGCAAGCACGCGCTGTTCACAGTTCCGCCATGACGTCTCACACCTACTATACGTGTATTTGAGTAATTCTATGGATGGTGACATTCAGTATTTCAGACATTTCAATGTGAGACTGACATGTACTATGTGCTAGAGTGAAACCCAGTGATCAGCGTCTCTCGGCGGGGGTAGTGCGGGCATTCAATCAACCGAACGCTGGGCGTTTCAACGGGAAAAGGTCTACTCAGGACGTGTCTTCAGCGACGTCCCATAGTGCCATACTGAACGCACCTGGACGACGTGTCAGTTAAAGTCGTGACTATACCACTGCCTACGTACAATAGAGCTAGTGCTGTAGCTGTATTGTGTGTCCGGTAGATCTGCCCATGATGCAGCTGATAGAGGCATGGACCAGTCACCCCGCATGATCAACGACTACAACGTACAAGGATTGATATGAATTCCGCATCTGAACTCCCACAGTTGTCTGATACAGTACTGTGCAGTGCAATGCGTGCACCATAATGCATACCCTTAGGCCTTACTCAGTAACTTACCAGTATACAGTCCGACATTGAGTTCAGTGCTCAGCTGCACTGGCGGCCTGGAATCCAGCGCCGGAGAATCATACTTATACCACAGTCCAACTCACACTCACTGACTGAATTATGGTGAGAAGAACGATAGACATAATGATAGTATGTGTCTGTGAAACTCTCCCACTGACAGGCACCTATGCTGGTTATGGCCCGGGAGCCTGTGCAGAGACCAGGTCCATGAGCTTCCAGCGCGAAAGGCCAACGTGTGATACTGGGGAGGCTGCTACTCACCAGGAAGCGTGCTGCGGACGGGGTGTGACGCTTTATCGCAGCACTTTATCACCTTTTACAGATTGAAGTTTGAACATGAAATGCTGAGCATCTGATGGGAAGTGCTGCCCAGTATCCGCGCCACCCACTGTGCACTGACTGAGCACGGGAGAGATCAACAATCTTCAGCACCTGCCATGTTGAAGCCACTGGCAGTACGACTGGTCACCGAGACTGAAACCTGGCAAAGGTCCAGCATGTAGGAAGATACCCCCCCCCCCCCCCCCTGTATCGCACACCCCATCGGGAGAGAGACGTACAATGCCTGTACTACATCATTCATGTCAGCACCAGCAGGCAGCATTGCTCTGGCATGCAATACTCTGTGTGCCCTGGTCCATGGACCATGTATCGCCCTATCTAACTGCCATCCACAGACAGATTCGCATAATGCTTCAACAAGGGCTATAATGCTCTTGGTTTGGGTCAGAAAGGAAGAAAGGCTGCACATATTCAATGTATGTATGTATTGTATTGTAAACCGCGGGTTAATAGCCAAGTATGAGCGGAAAGAAACAGGCGTAGCATTTGTCGACATGTCCAAAGCGTTCGACTCTGTCAAGGAGAAGTTGCTGCTGGAAGAGCTCTCGAACATGGGTGTGACAGGCACTGCGAATTCCTGGCTTGCTGGTTACCTCAGCGACTGGTACCAGCGTGTAGTTGTCGGCGGAAGTATGTCAAGGTACACACCGTGCAGTCGAGGCGTGCCACAGGACTCCGTTCTCGGCCCACTGCTAGCTCTTTACCCTGTGTATTCGCGACATCCACAATTGCATTCCACGTCCCGTCGTTCATCAAGAGTTTGCGGACGATATCGTTCTCGAGGCCTCTAGGAGTCGAGCAGTGGTGAGCACCTCCCTAAGCACCGCCGTCACCAATCTGGCAACTTGGCTTGAGGACCGTGGCCTTAAGCTGAACCAGACAAAGACTCAGGTCTTGCATAGAACACCTCGTGGTGGGCAGCAGAGTGCAGAACCGCTCCAGATCCGTTGCGACGGGAAACTGCTAACAATTGTGCCACAGGCTCGCTACCTTGGAGTTATTGTTGATAATGAGCTCTCCTGGGATGGCCACCTCACCATTCGCCAAGTTCGACGCTCCATTGGTGCGCTATGGCGCTCACGTCAAAGCTTGACAGTCTCATCAAATTATTTTATCATGCAATGATCATGTCCAGACTAACATACGCGAATCAGAATGGCCGAACCAAGGACCATGACCCGTGCCACAATCTAGAGTTCATCCGTAGAAGTCGGTAGCCATCAGCCAGTGTTGGTGCGTGAGGTGCTTATGTACATCTTTTTTGAAGGTGTGGAGCCGCTTCAAGCTGAGTGGAGCTCTTACAATTTTGCTTGGCAAACTGTTCCATGCTGAGCAGAAAACGGGATGGAGCGAGAAGCATAGGCTGGTGCTCTCCTGTCCAGGACTTGCTGCAGCTGCAAATGGTGCTGCTGGCCAGGAGGGGGTTGACTCTGGGTGCGCCGAGCTTCTACATGGTTGGCTGGAGGGGGGATCGTCGCGGTGAGCTGGGGTGGTCATGGGATGCACTGGAGCTTATACAGGTACTAGGTATACCAGCCCAGATACAATCCGGCGGTGGCACAGGTTTTGGAGAGGGGCATCAGGGCCAATAATGGCCATTGCACGTTTCTGCACACGGTCGAGTCAGGCCAGGTGGCTGGATAATAATAATATCTTTATTAGGATGACCCAGAGGCTTGTCGCCTATCAAGGGGTTCACCGCTTTGAAGGATGTACATGTACACGTATGAGCTAAAGTGAAAGTAGTGAAAAGTTGTGCAGCGTGAATGCGTTGGGGAGCACACGGGGGGGGGGGGGTTATGTACATGGCGTAGGCATACCGGAGAGCGAAGCACTATGTGGATGCAGCTCCCATCCACACAAGGGGAGCATACTCAAGGACACTGAGGTCGGACAAATTCCTTGTACGCGCAAAGCCGGCCATGGTAATCTAACACACGGCAAGCCCGACGGAGAACACCCAGTGCAGTCTCTGGCAGCCAAGGCAAGTGTCGCAATCGAGTGCAGGTGATCCCGGAATGACAGCCTGGCGTCAAATGTCACTCCAAGAAACTTGATGGTGTTGGCTTCCGGAACCGCGATGCCTCCAAACTTGATGTCAGGGACAGCAGGGTGTGTGGCTTTCGTAGTCATCAGCAGCTGTTGCGATTTAGAGGGCTCAACTCTGCATGCATCTCTTTCTGCTTGTAGCTGCACTAACGTGTCTTTCAGCCTGGTCCAAATTTATCAAAGGATCGGCGTCTACTTCAGTATCGCTACTAGCCTAGTGACGCTATCTTCAGAGCCTGAGGCACAACGAGAAACTTCAGTTTTCGATATTCACTTCGCCTCCATGACTCTATGTTTTCGACAAAACCGCTGAGTTTCCTCCTTGCAGATCCTTGTTGCGAATTTTTGCAACAGCTTTGGTTAGGCGCACATCATACATGTAGATAGTCAATTGACCTGACTACATACATGTAGTCATTGCTACATCAAGTGCTAAACAGTGTGGCTGTCTACACAAAGGGAGGGTTCCACGATCCAGTAACCTTTTAACACGAGGAGGGTTGCACCTACCTCATGAGTGCAGCCGATTGTTGCCAAAAATCTGGGATGTCCCGATATTATCCACTACGAAAGTTCAAATGCTGCTCAAATCTCACAAAATGCTCGTTTTTTTCCTTTCTAATGCTCCACTGGTCTGATGCTCGGATAGTCCCATAATGCCGAATATAATGTCGGCATTATCCGCTGGACCCTAGCATTGGGTCGTTTAGGCAAGCCACTGAGCCACAAAAATAGAGAAACGTTGACTGTAGTTCGAAAAAAACCCCAAAAGGTACTTGAAGGAAAGCTCCCCTGCAGCCACTTCAAAATATGGAGAGAAAAAACCTACACAATCACCAAAGCAAGTGGTCTCTTTGCTGCAAATCAGTCTATGATTATGTCAAACAAATGTTCGGCCAAGAGCCATCATTGAAAAAAACGTTACAGATAATGCACTTGGTGTGCTGGTTGACCTCCAGAAAATCATTGCTACTGCGACAGAGCGTATAACCACTGTCGTACTGCGTCGTACCTTACTGATGTAATTATAGCTACATTCATTCCACTCTGCACCTGGAGCTCTTAGTAACGACACGGAATTTGTCCACAGTTTGGTTGTGTGACTCTAGCCACATACACGAATGCACCTAATCCAATGGTCGTCAAAGAAAAACATCTGGAAATGGAGGATTTAATGCATGTAAGAAGGAAGTCATCGGACGGCAAGCAAAGCAGAGAATATGGATTTCACGCGTCGGCTGTCCAGTTCAGCAGCGTCGTCAAGTGTTCAAAAGTAAATACACGTACATTGTCCATAATTATGTACATTTCATAGGATAGTAATTTGATCGCCGGCGCAATACGTGCAGAAGTAAAGATATATCTCGCCTGTTACATCCGTCTTCGTATCTACTGCTCCTGTACGGTCATGACGAGCGACCAGCGTTTGATTATCACAATCCAGCGACATGTGGATCACGTCACCAGAACGCCAAGGCTGACCCAAAGAGCCGCTCTTAGTTCCAGAGCGTTCCCATGCATATCTACGATACCAGCCTTTAAGATCTGGCTCCTTCTCATTGCACATGCCTAGCAAGTAGTTACTGGATGCAGGCCCAACAATATCAAGGCGGATAGATATGTCGTACTTGCCCGTGCTCCACCGTCCTAAGCCATACACTGATGCGTTGCGTTGCATTCCAGGATTTTTCACGGTTCTGCCATTGTTAGATAGAGCCAGCCCGGTATTACATGCGTCAGTGTCAAACCGCAATACATCAGCGACAGTCACAACTGCAGGACTTCCCCGGATGTGGCCAGCGTCGGTTGTGACAGACACTTTGACTTGTCCCTTCTTTCCGGCTGTCTTGAATACAGCGGCTACTGGGCTGGAGGAGGTTTCCGCGTCTGTTACCTTGATTACCGGACAGATTGTGACGTCATTCTCCCTTGTCATCACTTCCACTTTCACACTGTTCAGACGTTTGTCTGTTGCAGTCAGTGTGTCACCACGTCCGTTCCTCAGGTCAATGGAGATACGGAGATCTTGTCCTTCGTCAACGTCAGCTGGAATGGTCACGGCACTCTTGTCAGAGGACACTGCAACGCTGACAGAACCGGCCTTGGAGATAGCTGTGTTGGACTCCTCGTTGTCATCAGTCATGAATTGTAGAGTAACTGGCTGGAATGGCTTCACTTCCGCTTCAGCTGCATCCATGACGTCATGTGTTGCATCTTCCAGCCAGTCACACATCTTCAAGAAGTTCCTGTCAGACTGGCCATACTCGGTTAGATGTTTGACTCGCTGCCCAGTTGATAAGCTGGATAGGATGCGTTCCTTTCGCTCTTGCAACTGTACGCACTGCGGTAATTGCAGTTGGTCAAGCTCATCCAGCAATTGCCGCTGTCGCTTATCAATGACTTTCTTCAACTGAGTGAAGAAGTCATTGACTTGCGAGGATAAAGCTTCAGATTGGTCATGCAGCTGCGAGAGTGCCTTGTCTGTTGCAACCAATGCATCCTCCAGTTGACTTTCTTCACCAGAGAAAGAAAGAGAAATCTTTGCAATGAGAGAGTCTCTGATTGTGGAAACAGCTTGCTCAACAGGTAGCAAATCCTGCCGATGCTGGTCATGGCGACTAGATGCAAGGCATTTGTCACAGAGGATCTTTCGACAAACCATGCAGAAGTGTGATTGCTCAGAAGATGGATGCAGTGGACACTTTGCGCTAGTGAGCCTTAGTGCGTCAGGAGTAGATGAAACAGCCTCGCTGAATGACACAACATTGTGTTTGTACGATTTCCGTGAGGTTGGATGCATCTTGGCATGGCCAGTACAGAGATTGTCACCACAGTCCATGCAAACAGCAACTGCTGCAGCATCCTCAGCACACTCATCACACAGTTTCTCAGTTTGCACTGTGGCAGTAGCCTCACCTGCATCGCTGGACAACACATCACTGTCTGGCAGGTACTGCAGCAAAGGAACACCAGCCACCGGTGGTGGTGGAGTGATCGCGCCACAGTCAGGACAACCTACTGAACTATCATCGTCGGTATGCTTCTCCAAACATTCCAAACAAATCGAGTGAAGGCATTTCAACAGTTTTCCTCGCGTACCGCTACATGTACTTCTACAACAGACACAGTCGGACCTGGGCATGGCAAACTTTACAGCGGATTCAACGAACACTGTTTTGTACTTCTATTTACCATTAGTATTCCCGTGAACACGAAATACCAGACCGGGAAACAGCGCTCGTTTACAATTACATACTTGTTATGTTAGGTGTTGTCTTTGCCTGTAGTTTGCCAGCGCAGTAACGGTGATTCACAATGGTCTACACTAGTACTAGTAGTAGTACAGTCATGATTGTGTAGTACTAATAATCATGATAATAATGACTAATGATTTATATGTGCGCGATGCTACATGTATGAATGATAGCGCGCGATATTAGGGCGCGTTCGTTTTATAAAGAGATTCTAGTATTAGAACGGTTTCTATCATTAATTTTTAGAGTTTTTCAGTGGAATTGTCATGGCGATGATGACGTCCGATCAGATCGACCATGCATCTCCAAGTGCTACGTGACGTTGCTATTCCAAACTCTTCGAAACTAATCCACCTTCCCATCGGATGAGTTTCGAGGAGTTTCGAGGAGCTTCGTTTTTCTGAAGAGGCCAATAAGGCCACCTCTTCAGAAAAACGAAACTCCTTAGAAAGTCAAAGAGTGACAATTCGAACGCGCCCTAAGTATCTCAGACTCTTGCGAGTCTTGGCTTGTCAAACTCAAACTCAAAGCCTAAAAATGCCACTGTGACTGTACCATGGCATGTGTACTGGGTCTGGGTGCCAATGTTGCTCTGTTTCCATGCCAATACAAAATGGCAACCCCTGGCCATACCAGTTCTAGTTAGTGATCGTCTCGGAAAAATTCGGGAAAGAAGAATGAAGTTTGCTTGCGCTGCGAGCCATTTTCTGTGGCGCTGTCGTCCATTTCGCCGAGCCTAATTTTAGGCTAGCTTTAAGAGCGATAGTGGGCGGGGCATCTACAACGGAATCGGAGCTGATATATGTTATATTCTTTTATTCCACGATGGCGCGACGCCAATAAGGACAATTGATAAGTGTGATAGAACTGGTACTAGCCGCAAACAGCTAGATGGAAATTAAACGGGGAGGCAAGAAGCAATGAATCATGAAAAACAAGCGGGGGCGTTAGCACGGCCGGTACGGGTGATCGAGATAGTTAAGTACACGCTCGAGATATCAGAAACCAGGGGGATGCGCGGAGCAGGAACAGGTACTGCTCAAAAGAAGACTGGATGCATTATAGGCCTTGACAGATTATGCTAGCATAATTTTTCGCATAATTCCTACAAAAATCGAATAGTCGCATAATTCGAGGCAAATTGCATACGAATCGCATAAAATCGGGAATAATCCGCCTGTTCGCATCAAATTCCATACAGTTGTACATGTTCTACAAGTACAAGTACAAGTAGATGCACCAGGAAGTTGAAGGTTTACGACTCGCTTGATAACATGTCCAGTCCACTACAATCAGTGACGGTCGTAGCTATGTCGGACGGTGCGTTGACCCCGTTAAACGTTTGCTACTACAGTACAACGCCCTCTACAAAAATTTTCCCCTGTTATTTTGCACAGAACCATTATACATTAGCTGCATATGTGAGCATAATGCGGCATAATATGATAACTTTTAGCATAAAAATGGCATAATTCTGCAATTTTTTCAGCAATGCGAAAAGCATACATGTAATTTCACGAACATATTAGCATAATCTGTCAAGGCCTAATGCATTATTTCGGAAAGAATTTGTAGAAATTGTTCTGATGTTAGTTCTGATAAGTATGAGTCGTCCATTGCTAGTCATTTGTTTGAGCATCCTGATTGTCGTGCTGTGTATTCAGATGATTGTTTTTCGATTGTGTCACGTGTACGCAGTGCTAGATTGCTGAATGTTTTGGAAGCTGTATACATCCACACAAGGAAACCCAACCTTTGCAAGCAGAAACAAAATCAAATTCACACTTAGGCTGTTAGGTAGGTCGTCAAAACCTCGTTAGTTACATGTATGTCCAGTGGTTGTCTCTTGTTGTCGCACTACATGTCACGCTTATTGAGTTTTCTCGCATTTGCACCTTTGTGTCATTATTGCAATTTTCGCTGTTTACTTTAGGTATCTTCTTTCTTTCTTTTTTTGCGCTGTTTTACCACCTTCTTACTGTATTTAATCCACTGTTCCTGTTCCTTTTCCCTTGCCTGTATTTCACCTGATGAGAAGGCTTGAAAGTATACTTGTGAAGACAAAAACTTTCAAGATGTTTGTAATGAGCAATAATCAAGCCACATATCTGCAACGTCACGAGGGTGCTGGCAAAAGTCCTGCCGCCGTGCAGCCCAATACGTGGTTTTTTAACGTGATTTTTTGGACTTTTTTGGACTTGGGGCAAAATTCTGCACACTTTCGCGTGTTTCCATAATACGACAAGTTGCGCACGGTCTGCTCACATTCAAATACAGTGCTGCCAACAAATGACAGCATGCAACAAAAAAATCTTTCCTTGCAAGGGCACATTTTCGGCCATAACTCTTGGACGGCTGGTCAGATAGGGACACAGTTTTCAGAGAATTTGCAGCTACTCATGCTCTTTCAACTGACGTAGCACTCAATATGAATTTACAAATTCGATTTTTCAGCGATTTTTTGGGTAGTCTGCCATGCCACCTTAATCTTCAGTTTTTGTAGGTTTCCGCCAGCTGTTGACAAAGGAAAATCGTATAGATGAAAGAATACGTGAGGCAAAACCGTACACACTTCTCAAATGCGTAGATTTTAGTAGTACACCGTACATTTTGTGCGAGTTCATTATCTGCACCGTACTATAATGCATACAGGGAGTTGTACGCACCAGTTTAGAGTATATTCCAAGGCCCTCGACGCGTCATCAAGAGTAGTAAAATTACAATTGAGCGGGCTTTAAACTCTGATAAGGACCTTGGCGGGAATGTCGCTGATTGGTCGTTTCCTGGACAACGACACAGACCTCGTTCTAAAACGTTTTCAAATTTTGTCCAAACAAAAGTAAAAATAAAAATAGCAAGCTAGAGAAGGCTATTCTCCTGAGATTCACCAGAAAACATTTTCAAATGTCATCTCTGCCTTGCCGATAAACTCATAAATGCAGTCAAAATTTTCCCAAAAAAGTCGTACCGCCCCAGCCACCTTTTAAAAGTACATGTATGCACAAGACTACATGAAAAGGTTTTCATCAGGGAGTCGTAAATACGGTATTTTACGACTCCCTGCTATTAATAATTACATGTATATATATGGAGGCATGCTGGGAGAGTGTCGAGAGTCGAGACCAGGGAGTCGTAAAATCCGTATTTTGACTGCTACATGTGCTACATGTAGTACCAAGAGTTTATGTACTCTTGCCTAGTCTTGGTAGTACCGGTACTCTCCCTGGTCGAGACCAGGGAGTCGTAAATACATGTACCGGCATTTTAAGACTCCCTGGTCGAGACATACGACGCATGCACTGCTGTACACAATACTTGCCAATCCAGGATCAAAATGTGCACAATTAATCCAGCACATTGAGTCTGATCCTCTACGTTGTTGTACATCGTACTGCACTTGACAGCCTTGATCTAATTCCCGCCCCCTGCCGAAAACCCAGCTGGGAAGCGACATGGCGTGGGGGCGGATCAACGGTACTTTACGGTAATTACATGTATATATATGGAGGCATGCTGGGAGAGTGTCGAGAGTCGAGACCAGGGAGTCGTAAAATCCGTATTTTGACTGCTACATGTGCTACATGTAGTACCAAGAGTTTATGTACTCTTGCCTAGTCTTGGTAGTACCGGTGTAGGGTCCTAGCCCTAGCACAACTCTTAAAACGCACACAAATGGCGTAAATCGATAGAGTTGTATTATTACTGTAATATTGACAAAGCAATGAAAGAGAGATAGAAAGGCAACTGCCTTCGATGAAACCAAACTAACTACTGGCCTAAAGCTCTAGGTTGAGAATGTCTTGGCCAGTAAGGAAAAGGGTGTACATGTGTAGTAATGACATAGTACAGTGACAGTGTGTATATGTCCTATATACAGATACGCTACGGTATAAATGCCTGGCGAAATACTAGGATGCATGATGGGATATATGCGTACAATCTGGAATCTGAACCGGAAGTAGCGTACACATTATAATTCCGGGAAATGGCCATAAAAATCAAAGTCACCGCTTATGGAAAACCCAGGAGTGAAAACGGAAAAGTTACAGGTATGGGAACTGCTAAAGTCACCACATTACCCCCCTCCTAGAGCACGACTCCATAGTAAAAAAAAGGAAGAAGAAAAAAAATGTGGGTCGTGAGCGACCAGGAATGAGACTGTAGCAGGGACTGCAACACTACTCCAAGACATGTGCCGGCTTGAGGCGGTCAATGGAGACGGTTACCGGCCGACCCTTTACATCCAGCACAAAATATTTGGCAGATCGACGGAGCACAGCAAATGGACCATCGTACGGAGCCTGCAGAGGCCGCCGGACAGCGTCGTTGCGTAGGTATACCCGCTCGGCTGATGCTAAAGCGACTGGTAAATACCCACGTGCGTCGACGTCACGGGTCGGAATCGGCGTGACACTCTGCATCGCATCCTGCAGTCGGCGGAAGTAGTCCGCACCAGTGGATGGGATGTCGGACACCGGGGCGGAGGCACCGAGCAGTTGGCCTGGGAGGGGCAAGGAGGAGCCGTAGACCATCTCGGCCGAACTCAACTGGGTGTCTACCCGGATGGCAGACCGAATGCCGAGCAGAATGACCGGCAGATGGTCGACCCAGAAAGCCGGATCGGGTAGAGCGCGGAGCGAGGCCTTGAGCTGGCGATGAAACCGTTCCACCATACCATTGGCCTGAGGGTGGTAGGCCGTGGTATGGAGGTGTTGGCAACCCAAGGCCTGCGAGAGGTGGCGGAACAGGATCGACTCGAACTGCGCACCTCGATCAGACGTGATGGTAGAGGGGATGCCAAAGCGAGCAATCCATACCGACAACAGGGCCTTGCATACTGATACGGCGGTAATGTCAGCGAGAGGCAGCACTTCAACCCAGCGGGTGC